ACTCGCTGCGGCACGGGTTGCAAGTTCCGATTTTTTCACACACTCAACGTTTCCTGTTGGCTAGCCGAGACGATGATCCCATACGGAGCCGAAAACACATCGCGTATCGGATAATTCCCCGTGTCTGTCTCGAACTACGTTCATCACACAACCCTCATCCCTCGAAGCTCCGATCTGCCAGGAAGATATGCGGCCCTCGGTTCCTCTTTGAGGGTCACTGGCTGTCCGGAAAACATCTCGTCCGATTGTGAGTGAAAACTTACTGCCGCTTCAACAAGTTTCGGTTCCAGGCGATGCTGACAGGAGGCGCAAAGCTGCTCATTCCGAAGTTCCGTGAGCCCGGTGCCGTCCAACGTATAGGGTCTGAGGCGCGCCGGCGTGCCTCATGGCCCTGGGGGAATATTGATTCTATGGATAACCTCGATCCTCGAATTCAGAAGGATATTCAGTGGTGAAGTTTTGAGAATAGAGGATATTTATTTAGGGCATCATATTCAACTCGAAGTTTGATATTCAGATCTGGATTTTTCGGTCCTCAATGACCTGCAGTGTAACATGAAACACACAACCATTCGTCGCACGCTCTGCATATCGTATTAACCCTCTTAACCAAGCTTTGAGCAGCAGATCTACCGTGGACAGCCGACATCTTCGCGTAACAATCTTGACATCTCCCTGTTCCTCCTATGCGTACCATCGCTCTAAATCAAATGGTGATCCTCTTCTAGACTCAGCAGGTTTCCCGACGGAGAAGGGTCTCGAGCCCCAAGGAGGTTTAGAACAATCGCTTCTCGAAAGTGTTTCACAGTTATATATTTCGCCGAGAGCTTTGAGAAGATCATTCTCGAATTGACAAGAGCCGTATTGAGAAGGACCTCGAGGACGACCTCATGGTACCATCTTATAGTCTTCCGTAGCGGCGATTGGTAGCTGGCCATCTGATCCGATTATCAACCCCTTGTTTTGTCTTGTTGCACTCGAGTATAGCCACAGGTTTGGTTCTTGCGAAGCCATCTTTACCGATTCTATTCGAGCCCTCCATTCGGAGACCATGTTTTGTCGTCAGGAAAAGAACATCGCGTTTGTCTCGCCACTTAGCTACCACAATCCCGTCACTCGACATCTTCCCCAGGATTTCATTGCGAGACAGACGTGTGTCGACCACGCTTCGAGGTAGATGCTTTCTATTACTCCGCATTGTCCCAACTAAATTTGTATATCGTCGCAGTGAGTCCCTCGCAAGCGTCACAGAAGTGAAGGAATTATCAGTTGCCAAAGTCCGCCCCGAATCGAGATAAGGTTCCCCGAGTTCTTGGACAACGCTGGATGGACGACTTTTCGAGACGCCATCGGCTTGGCCGATGTAGACTTTCATACGGAAAGTGTATCCCTCTGGATTGCACAGCTTGAACATTTTGATGCCATATTTGTGTCTTTTACACGGCATGTATTGCCGGAACGAGAGGCGACCTCTGAATGGTATCATGGTTGCGTCAGCCGTCACATTTCTCCCGGCTCAAAGGCTTCACAGAATTTGTCCTGCAGTCTGGTCAAGATATCGATGAATTTGCTGGATCTGTCGGCGCCGTCCCGTTCCTCATCGTTGGAGAAGAGCACGAAGCGCAGGAGCAGCTAGAATCGATTCCGGCTCATCGCCGAGGCAACGGGTCCATTCTCATACGAGCAGTCCGTGCGCCAACAGTCAGCAATAGTTGGATAAGCTGCGAGACCAATATACATCACAAGGCCGAAAAACCTCCGCATCTCGTTCGGCTCGGTGTCTTTCCATTTCTTCGCTCTGCTTTCAACAGCTTATTCCTCCAGCGCGCACAAACGCCCTGGCGTTTCGATTCGTCTCGCATACTATGAGCTCAAGAAGATATCGATCGAAGAAAACTTGAAATACTTGCGCAGGTTGCAAGAGAGCGAGGTCAGCCGGATAGGATTCGTGAGTTCGAACAATCTGACGCCTATGAAGGCCGTTCGATTCAGCGACTCTTCATGAACGTCGCCCCAAAGAAAGACCAGGCTCTCATCGGGAGGCGCGTCATTGGTCAAGCATCGAACCGAAGCTTCAGAGCAAGATGCCGAAACCGTCTCGGCCTGGGAGAATTCCGCGTCCGAATCAGAATGTAGATAGCCTTCACTTTCGGTGGAAGAATCGTAAGGATCCTGAACTCCCTCACTTGTAGTCTTGCGCATCGACGAGGATCAAGCAGGACGGCGTAGATCCTTGCCGGAGCTGACTCCCTCTATGATCCGAAGAAGAAGGTGGTTGAATAACGAAGTGACGAACTGACTGACAAATTTTTTCTTGACCTGTTGTTGCGCACGTGCGATGTTTGAATTTGAATTCAGAGAAACATATTTACGAGTAATTGCCTGCGCGACCTTTGGAGCCACGCGCGAACCATTGCGGCCGCCATTCGAGTGCAGCTTGAAAAAGCCGCCAATCATTCAAAATCGGAGCTGTGGCGATATTTAGACCGGCCGCGGCGGAAGATAATGAGTCATACACTGAGACGCACCAGCGTTCCTCAAGCATTGGCAGAGCTGAGGACCGCCGGCGGACCTCATGGCACGGAACGTGTTAAGAGACGTTTTCTTCTGATCCGGTGCAATGACTAGATGCTGATCTTCGTTCCAAAGCAAGGTTTGTTGACTGGCTTGGAGCATTTCGGCATCGATTTCAGTGTCGGCAGCATCGAGTTCTCCGTCTTCATAATCTGCATGTCTTGAGGTTTTCTAGTCCAATCGACTTTGATGTCATACCTTTTGTACAGGGGCGTGGTTTGTAGGAAATCTGACCTGGCTCTGAGGTCTGCTCTCCTGACTTGTCCAGAGTATGCTGTGCTTTCATGTATGTTTCTTCAGAGATACGTTCAGAGCATAATCATCCGCCAAACTCCGTGGCGAATTCGATACCATGTCTTGGACATCGACTGGTATATTGATTACCAGCGTTCTGGGCCGCGGCCTACGGCCGCGACCGTCTCTCGCTACGCCGTAAAGGTGTCCCCGCAGGCGCGAGAACTCGACGCCACCCTTCGGCCGCGCCCGTTTCTTGGTTTGTACAGATTGCGTGGAACAAACCTAATTGTCGTCACGATAAGCAAACAATTCAGAATAGAAGCATATCGGGTCTAATGTAGCAATGCCATATATTAATAGTCCACAATCTCTTCTTGTTCATCATCCACAACTGGATGGGCAAGAGTCCTGAAGGCGTAAAATTCGCCGATGCTGATGCTCCGTTTCGCATCAAGCATCATAACGCAGTGAAGGATGAGGTTCGTTGACAATTCCTGGAGAAGATCCGTGTCGTCGATGAATCTGATATAACCTTCGAATCTGAAGCTGCGATGTTCCTCGATAGAGAGTGCTGGCACCAAGAAATGCGGTAGCATGTCTCTAACTCGCTGGATTCCAAATCGAATGTTGGCTCCTGGATGCAGTCGTCGTTGCCTTCGTAGATAGTGTACCAAACGTTGCCGAGGACACATCACTCTGAGCAGCACGTAGTAAAGGTGTATATCATCCCGTTCCAACATAAGAACGCTATGGGCATGGGTCTCCAATCGATTCAGAGGCATCGTTTTCTCTGTGAATAATCAACTCGAGCGAATGTTTTGAAGTCTTGAATTTTTACCCATGATTAAAGGGCGAAACGAAATTCGCGGATATCCAGCGAAAGAAACTCCGGCTCCTAGTGTGGATATCGAGCGAAACGTGATTTCGAGTAAAATAATCTTACATTATTAAATGGTGAGGAACAGGACGGATCATGAATGCCTCATCCTATGAGAATCTGCTTCTCCTATTTAAGAGGGGTGTTCATCGGCGTTGTACTCATTCATCGTTGCTTACGACGAAGCTTTCATTCTGTCTAGTCAGACGACGTTAGAACGAAAAGAGATGGCAAGCAACGTAACTCAAGAAAGAGAAATGTTCGTGTTAGATTGCAACCTTCGACACGTCGTTCTGAGGTTTTGGGGAGAGAACGGTATCAGACTCGGCTCCCCAGAGATTCGTGAAGTGCTAAAGAACCATCCGGAAGTCTCCGCGGCCTCGAAAATAAAGGTTCGTGTCGATCCAAAGGTGCCGGACGTGCGATTCAAACTCAACGTCGTGTCGAAATCACAAAACAAAGGCAGGAACTCATTCGTCCTCGCTTTCGATTTGGACAAAGTAAAAGGACCTTGCAGCCGCGATTACGAGAGTTACCATCGGAACCTGCTGCGTCTCATCCCGAAATGCAGTCGGTGTATGTTATGTCGACACCTAATCTTGTTGCCAAGTCTTGTGGTAACAGACTCCACCTTATATGAGATTGAGGATATAGTGGCAGGCGCTCTTGAAGTATTCGAGAAAGAATAACGATGAAAGTTCGAAAACATCAGTTCATAAGAATTATATGATTTGTAGTTTCTGATATGTAGACACCGGCCTCGGCCCAGAGCTGTAATGGCATTCGATAAGCCTCGGATAGAGGAAAAATGTGTTCGCTTCCCGATTAGCTCTTCTTCAGGCTATACAGTCTGGGTGTCGATTAGAATTTGGAGTCCGCACGGTGGGTTGTTGGTTTTTGGCGAGACTTCGGATATTTAGATGCAACAGATATTTAGAAGCCGCGTTCGGTGCTCTCACACCACGTTCGGGAAACGAATATCTAGGATAATGAAACATATGAATTTTTCGGAAAGACTGATTTATGAAGATTGTTTGAGGGGAGAATCTTCATGTCTCTCCTTGGAGAACTTCTTTGAATACGATGTTTTTGGTGAAGGTATCGGGAGTTGAGATCGATAGTCCTGCTCGACTGGTAGCTCTGGATAACGCTACATATAATTGGCCATGAGTGAAGACGCTTTCACGTAGATCAAGTCCTACTCGTGTGAATGATTGTCCCTGTGATTTGTTGATGGTCATACAAAAACTTAATCGAAGAGGGAACTGAGTGCGGCGTAGCCTGAATGGTAGGGAGGAATGAGTATAATAACAGTCGATCCTTGGGATCAGTACCGCCCGATGTTTGTTGTGGCCCGTGGCGAAGCTGCAAACGATTATCCGGCTCAGTATTTGCGTAACGATCAATCGCGTTCCGTTGCATAGTCCTTTGCGTACGTCTAAATTTCGTAGCAACATGACGATGCATCCCGGTTTCAGGTTGAGCTCGTGTGGTGGAAGACTCGATGGCGACATTTTGTTGAGGAATTCAGTAGGGAAGTTCAGCGCATCGCTGGGGTCTTCAACAACAGGTGCATCGGCACTGAGGAATGTCTTCTTGAGTCCTGGGAGTTTGTCTAAAATATAGTTGTTGATTTGTAAAGCTTCCGCATTCTTAGGCGTCAAGATAGCGATATCTGCGAGGTCAATATTCTTCTGTCCGGAGCAAACACAGTCAAAAATCGTGTCAGAGAGATTGTTTTCTTGGCGCATGTCATCGGGAATATCGATTGTCGGTTCTAGGTCGCCATCGCCAATTTTCAGAAGCCAATCTCGGAAAGCGTTGTCGTTTGCGGTGACTCGCATGTTGGCTCGCAATCGACACTGACGGAAATGTTTCCATAGAGTGGATTTCTTGAGGCAAGCTTGGACGATTGGAGTGCGAGAGCCTTTCTCGACAATAGGTAATATTTGGCGGAAGTCACCCCCAAGTATCATCGTTTTCCCACCGAAAGGCTCGTCGCTTTGCATAATATCCCGTAGGAGCATGTCGATGGTCTCCAGAGCGGTTCTCGGGGCCATGGGGGCCTCGTCCCATATGATGACGTCTGTTTTCCGTAGGCTTTGAGCTTGTTTCGACTGTCGTTTCATGGATGAGCTGCGACTTGCGTCTTGAACGACTAATTGAAATGCTGAGCTAACACTTCGTCCATCGGGCAGTAGATTTGCAGCAATACCGGTCCACGCTACATTGATGACCGTGTATCCGATAGAAGTTGCTAGGTGGAAGATCGTTGTATATACAAATGTTTTCCTGCTCCCGCCCGGGCCATCGATGAAATGGCATTGCTTATGTGCATTATCGAGTGTTCGCAGTATTTCATCAACCACAGCTTTCTGTTCTGGATTCAAGAGTTGATACTTGTGGGATCCGATGGAACGATGGTCATCGAGACATATAATGGATGAATCGTTCGGGAACTCTGGGATGTCAAGCGGGAGGATGGTACGATGATCTTTCCCCATTGTTTCCAGTTGTTGGACGATATCGTAGAAAGCTTTCGATTGAGCTACATGTCGCGCTATTCCGGCGTTGAGATAATCTTGCATGAGGTCGTCTTCGAATTTAAGCCAGAGCTGTTGTGGAATAGGTGGGGCGATCTCGGCGAAAACAATTATGGCGACGAAGAAACTTCTCAATTGTTGTGGCATTTTTAGAAAGGCGGCTTCTTGTAAAGCGTCATGGAAATAAGCATCGTCCTTTAGATAGCCACACGTTCTTGCCGCGTCAACGAAGGATGGATACAGCTGTCCATCGACAGTTCTCACATCTTCATAAGACGTAAATCCTTTCCCGAAAGTGCATCAGACGTAGGGCGTAGCGTTCGTGATCCGTGAGGGTTTACGAAGTACATTCGGCCTATGGTTCGATTGCCCCCGCGTTTGCGTTCCTGCCATTTTTTGTTGAAGATGAACTTCTCAGGCGTCTCATGGTAATGAAGCTTCCGACAATCGACCGCGTCGTCGGGGAAGGTACCATGTTGAAGTTCCAAGTCGCGACATTGCTTTGTTTTTGTCGAAATAGGCTGTCAATGTTGAGAATCGCTCACTCGCAATATTTAGAGCTGATTGTTCATGGCCCTCTTGGAAACGAATTGAATCGAAGCCGGGCAAATGCACTTGTAAGCGCACTACGGCTTCACTTCTATCGCTCATTGGGAACCCCAAGATCCGATGCGCGGCCTCCGGGGCGCACACGTAGCGCGTATCCCAATAGGAGTCGATCTCATCATGAACCTGTGAATCGGATGATTGTTGGCGGTACAGTCTGATCCGCGCTCTGTCAGTACCCTTGTAGACGTATTTATAGAGGTATTTTACGGCGTGGATCAATGCACATAGTTCGACGTTGATATGAGCGTTGAATAACCATGTCAGATATGGGCAATATGGGACTACGG